ATGCCGCCTGACCCCGGTATCCAGTCTGCTGCTCCAGGTGCCGGTGAGGCTACTGCTCTAGGTGCTCGTGCGTCTCCTGCTCCAGGTGCTGGTAAGACTACTACTCTAGGCACTGGTGAGTCTGCTGCTTCAGGTGCTTGTAAATTTGCACCTTCAGGTACTGCGTCTACTGAGGCACTGCACACCTTCACACTAGACTCAGGTGCTTCCTGCTGTTTCTTTCGCGACCGTATTGCCCTAGAGCAGCTCCCTAGACCGATTGCTGTCTCCCTGGCTGACCCCTCTAGGGGTTCGGTCCTTGCGGCCTCCACCACCTGGTCCTGCTGTCCCGTCCGGCACACTGTCGGGCCTTTACCTCCCCTCGTTCTCTACGAACTTGGTGGCGGGGTCCGCGCTCCTGGACGCGGGTGTTCACTAGTTCACCCGTGCCTACGAGCATGTGACACACTGCACGTGTGCCCAGACGGGTCGTCACCTGGCTACCTTCACTCGGCAGTCGGGGTCGGACTTGTACACACTGACCACTGAGTCCCCTCAGGTAGCGGCGTCTGCGTCTGCGTAAGGTCAGTTGTCCGCCCCCTGCTCGTGTCGCACCGTGTCGCACCGGATGGTCCTCTAGCACCACCGCCTTGGGCACCCTTCGATGCAGCGCCTTCATGGCATGCACTCTCGGTTCCTTGTCTCTGGTCTCCCCAGGTCATTGCCTCCCCTGCCACCGTCCCCTGCCCCTCCTTGCCTTCCCTGTGTTGAGGAGCGGCAGCGTGCCACCCCTCACTCCTCTGAGTTCCCCCCGACGTAGGCTCCTCTGCAGACCCTTCACATGGACGTGTGGGGCCCAGCCCGCGTCCGTGGACAGGGCGGAGAGCGCTACTTCCCGCTGGTAGTTGACGACTACACGCGTTACACCACGGTCTTCCCCTTGCGCACCAAGGGAGAGGTCCCTGCTGTCTTGATCCCTTGGATCCGCGCTACCCGTCTCCAGCTAGAGAGGCGCTTTAGCACGGACCTTCCCGTCCTGTGAGTGCACTCTAACTGAGGTGGTGAGTTTTCCTCCGACCTCTTGGAGGCCTTCTGTCAGGAGGAGGGCATTGAGCAGACGTTCACGCTTCCGGCCTCTCCTCAGCAGAATGGGGTTGCTGAGCGCCGCATTGACTTGGTCATGGAGGTCGCTCGTACCTCCTTTGTCCATGCGGCTGCCCCCCATTTTCTGTGGCCGTTTGTGGTCCGTTACGCCGTGCATCAGCTCAACCTCTGGCCCCGTGTCTCCGTTCCGGAGACCTCGCCGACACTGCGTTGGACGGGAGAGGTTGGCGATGCGTCTGTGTTCCATGTCTGGGGATCTCGTGCCTTTGTCCGCGATACGTCCGCGGACAAGCTCTCCTCTCGCGCCGTTCCTTTTGTCTTCTTGGGCTTTGTCCCTGACGCGCCTGGCTGGCAGTTTTACCACCCCACCTCGCGCCGTGTCTTCCCCTCTCAGGACTGTCAGAACATTATAGCTTATGCTATTGTGTAGGCTATAATGGGGTATCCCATAGGGGGTACAACCCAACTAGGGTTTCATATTTGTACTCGCTTCATTCATAGTTCATTTTCATTCTCGTTCTAATCTTCTCATGGTATCGAGCAGGTTCCCCCTTGGGAACTGTGCTTAGGGCCCACCACATCGAGTTTTTTTTTTTTTTTTTCCTGCCCGAAGCGCGCTCAGCCCGAGTCGCGCTCCGGGCCCTCACTTCGTCGAGCCGCCCTAGCGGCCATTCACTGCGGCCCCGCCGCCTGTCTCAGCGGCCTCGCCACCCTTTTTTGCGGCCCCGCCACCTCTCTCGTTGCGGCCCCGCCGCCTCTCTCGTTGCGGAGAGCGCTACTTCCCGCGGAGATTCCTCGCTGGGGCGAGCTGTCTAGGGCGGGTGTTGCCATCTTTGATCTTGACTTTGATGCTATTCTCTCTGCCATGTATGCTGTGTCTCATAGTGATGAGGGTGACTGCTACCGCTGTTTCCCGCCCGATCCGGGCATTAAGGCTGCTGCCCTAGGTGCTTGCGACGCTGCTGCTCTAGGTGCTAGTGTGTCTGCGTCCTCAGGTACTGGTGAGTCTGCGCTCTCAGGTACTTCGTCGGCTTTGGCCTCCCTCACCTTCACCCTTGACTCTGGGGCGTCTCGCTCCTTCTTTCGGGACCGCACCAGACTCACGCCGCTTAGTCGGCCGGTTGCGGTGTCTCTGGCTGACCCCTTCGGGGGTCCTGTGCTGTCTCGCTTCTCCACAGTCCTCCCGTGTCCGGCGGCTCCCTCTGGCACCCTGTCTGGTCTCTACCTCCCCTCGTTCTCGACGAACCTGGTGAGTGGTGCTGACCTACAGGATGGGGGAGTACACCAGTTCACTCCTGCGCGTCAGCGGGTGACGCACTGTACAGAGGCTAGCACAGGCCGGCACCTAGCTACGTTTACCCGTCAGCCGGGGTCGAGCCTGTACACACTGACCACTACGTCTCCTCCCGTTACTGAGTCTGGTAGAGTCGCTTCGTCCGGTCAGGTGTTTGCTGCAGCGTCTAGGTCTGGTCCTGAGTCTGCCCCCTGTTCGTGTCGTCTCTTGTCTCATGAGACTCTCCTCTGGCACCACCGTCTTGGTCACCCCTCTCTGCTTCGGCTCAGAGGCATGGCCTCCCATCTTCTTGTGTCTGGTCTCCCCCGGTCCCTCCCTCCCCTTCCTCAGGGCCCTGGCCCTGCCTGTGTCCTCTGTGTCGAGGGGCGCCAGCGGGCTGCCCCTCACTCCTCCCAGTTTCCTCCGATAGAGGCTTCGTTGCAGACGCTTCTCATGGACGTGTGGGGCCCAGCCCGCGTACGTGGACAGGGTCACGAGCGCTACTTCCTGCTCGTTGTTGACGACTACTCGCGTTACACAGCGGTCTTCCCCTTGCGCAGCAAGGGTGATGTCACTGAGGTGCTGATCGACTGGATCCGCGCGGCTCGTCTCCAGCTCAGGCGGAGCTTTGGCTCGGACTTCCCTAATCTGCGTCTGCACTCGGACAGAGGCGAAGAGTTTTCCTCCGGCCTACTGCGAGCCTACTGTCGCGCACAAGGCATCCGTCAGACCTTTACGCTTCCGAACTCACCGCAGCAAAATGGGATTGCTGAGCGCCGCATTGGCATGGTCATGGACGTCGCTCGTACGTCTATGATGCATGCGGCTGCCCCCCATTTTCTGTGGCCGTTTGCGGTCAGGTACGCGGCGCATCAGATCAACCTCCACCCCAGGGTCTCCAAGCTGGAGACCTCCCCAGCCTTACTGTGGACGGGGAGGGTTGGCGATGCGTCGGCGTTCCGGGTCTGGGGATCTCGGGCGTTTGTGCGCGACTTGTCTGCGGACAAGCTGTCCCCTCGTGCTGCTCCTTGCGTCTTCCTGGGTTTCCCCCCTGACGCGCCTGGGTGGCAGTTCTACCACCCCACCTCTCGACGTGTACTGTGGACGGGGAAGGTTTGACAAGTCGGTCCCCTACTACCGCCTCTTCCCCTACCGCACTCCGTCCCTCCCCCCACCTCCGCTCTTCCTTGTACCAGGTCCCCCCCAGGTAGACTCCCTCCCCCCTCAGGGTCCTGTCCCTTCAGGTGTGTCCCAGGGAGACGCAGTCGAGCCTGTCGAGGTCACTGGTGACTCTGGTGCTGCTGGGGGTGCTGAGCCTGGGGGTGCTGGACCTGGTGGTGCGGACTCTGGGGGTGCTGAGCCTGGGGGTACTGCGTCTGGGGGTGCTGAGTCTGGGGGTACTGAGCCTGGGGGTGCTGAGCATGGGGGTGCTGAGCTTGGGGGTGCTACGCCTGGGGGTGCTGAGCCTAGAGGTGCTACGCCTGGGGGTGCTGAGCCTGGAGGTGCTACGCCTAGGGGTGCTGAAATTGGAGGTGCTCCGCCTGGAGGTTCTCCGAGTGCTTCTTCTCGCCGGGAGCCACTCTCTCCACAGGAGCTGCGCGAATGGTTTGCCCGGCGCTGGCGCCGTACTGCTGGTGCTGGAGGTTCTTCGGTTGCTAAGGGTGCTGCGGTTGCGGGTCCCGGAGGTGCTCGTACTGGGAGTACTGGAGCTGCTGGGCCTACGGGTTCGACTGGAGCTGGTGCTGCTGCTGTCAGTCCTGGCGCTGAGACTACCGCTGGCGGTCCTACTAGGGGTGCTTCTGCTGCTGCTAGAGGTGCTGCTGGAGCGGGTGCTCCTACTGAGGGTACTGGTGCTGTCCCTGCTGCTTCTGGCGTCGTCACGCGGCCTCGACCGTACTTTGTTCCACTCCTACAGCAGGTTCTTGGTCTTCCTCCTTCTACTGGTCCTCCTCCTCCCTTAAAGTGTCCACAGCCTGTCCCGTCACAGTCACAGCTACAGCCTGCCTCCCCTTTGCCTGCTTCTTCTCCCTACGCTGGTCCTACTGGAGGTCTTACTGAGCGTCGTGAGCCTGCGTCTCGTCCTACGTCGCCTGTTAGAGCTGCTCGCGCTAGTGGTCGCGGTTCGCGCCAGCGTCCTCCTCCTGTCCCTGGCACGCACCGGATGTCTCTGCGTCCGTCCACTGCTCCTCTGCGTGCCCCTTTTCCTTCCCCTCCTGAGTCCTCTCTTCCTGCACTTGCCGACCCTGAGTCGGACTCTCTTCGTGCTGCCAGTCCTACTGTCACGCGTCTCCTTGCTACTGTTGTCACTGACCCTTCTTTCGAGTCTACTGCTGCGTCTGCTCTCGTTACTGAGCTCGTCGACTTTGCTGCTCACTGTCGCTTAGACTACGCTGCTAGTCTTGTCGCTGAGTCTGAGTTTGTCTGTCCTCCGTCCGTCGGGGGTGAGTGTTCCCTTGGCACGGACGTCCTTGAGGACAGGCAGGAGGAGTTCCAGTGTCTGGCTGCTGCTTCACCTCATCTCGTGTCCGTACTGCTTACCCCTGAGGGAGACCCGGATGCACTTGACATCCCGACTCCGCGCTCTTACGCGGAGGCGATAGAGGTTCCCTACTCCTCTTAGTGGCAGGCAGCTATGGATGCAGAGATGGCTTCCTGGAAGTCCACAGGCACCTACGTTGACGCTGTCCCCCCTCGTGGGGCGAACATCGTCAGTGGCATGTGGATCTTCAGGGTGAAGCGGCCGCCGGGTTCTCCGCCTGTCTTCAAGGCGCGTTACGTGGCTCGTGGCTTCAGTCAGCGGCAGGGAGTTGACTACTTTCAGACCTTCTCCCCCACCCCGAAGATGACCACTCTTTGGGTACTGCTGCACGTTGCTGCTCACCATAACTACGAGCTGCACTCTCTCGACTTCAGCACAGCTTTCTTGCAGGGCAGCCTGCACGAGGAGATCTGGCTGCGTTGCCCACCTGGCTTCACTGGGTCTTTCCCTCCTGGTACCCAGTCGAGTCTCCGGCGTCCAGTCTACGGTCTCCGCCACGCGCCACGTGAGTGGCAAGACACACTGAGGACTACGCTTGCGGCTCTTGGGTTTGCTTCTTCTACTGCCGACCCGTCGCTGTTTCTGCGCACCGACACCTCTCTGCCGCCGTTCTACATCCTCGTGTACGTTGACGACTTGGTCTTTGCCACAGCTGACACTGCTGGACTCGCCAACGTGAAGTCCGAGCTGCAGAAGCGACACACGTGCACAGACCTGGGTGAACTGCGCAGCTACCTTGGCTTGCAGATCACCCGGGACAGAGCACGCCGCACCATTACCCTGACTCAGTCACACATGGTGCAGCAGGTCCTTCAGCGCTTCGGCTTCACGTACTCCTCGCCTCAGGCCACTCCTCTGCCTACTCGCCACTCACTCTCAGCTCTGCCTTCGATGAGTCCGTAGAGTCGAGTGGCCCGTATCCAGAGCTTGTTGGCTGCCTCATCTACCTGATGACCTGCACACGACCTGACCTTCCATACCCTCTTAGCATTCTTGCACGCTATGTTGCTCCTGGGAGACACCGACCAGAGCACATGGCTGCAGCGAAGAGGGTGTTGCGCTACTTGTGCAGTACGTCGGGCATGGGGCTAGTGCTTGGAGGGCGGAGTCTAGTGGTCCTCACTGGGCACGCGGACGTTTCTTGGGCTGACGACCAGGCTACGCAGCGGTCGTCACAGGGTTATACTTTCAGTCTTCGTTCCGGTTCTGTTTCGTGGCGGGCTACCCGCTCGTCTTCTGTTCTCGGCTCCAGTTGTGAGGCTGAGATCTACGCCGGGGCTATGGCTGCCCAGGAGCTTCGCTGGCTCACCTACTTGCTGACCGACCTTGGAGAGCCGCCTCGTTCTCCTCCAGTCCTGTACGTAGACAACCAGGCCATGCTGGCCTTGTGTCAAGAGCAGCGACTGGAGCACAGGACAAAGCACATTGCTCTCCGTTACATTCTTGCTCGTGAGCTACAGCAGCGTGGACAGTTGCGGCTTGCGTACGTGGCCTCTGAGGCCAACACTGCTGATGTTTTCACCAAGGCACTTGCGCCTTGTGATCATCAGCGCTTCTGCACTCAGCTGGGTCTTGTGCTTGTCTTGCCTCACTTGCTCACTTCTTGACCTTGCTTGTACTGTCACATATATATACTCCTGCTCTTGCTTGCTTAGCCTCCTATATGTATATATGTGCTCTTGCATGTGAACTGGCCTTTTGGCCTTTGAACTTGTGCTCGGACTGTGTGGTGACTTTGTGATCCACCCTGAGCTTTGCTTTGCTTTGCTTGACTGGTCTTGTGACCCCTTGTTCTCCCCCACTTTGCCTATGGGGGTGTGTCAGAACATTATAGCTTATGCTATTGTGTAGGCTAAAGTGGGGTATCCCATAGGGGGTACAACCCAACTAGGGTTTCATTTTTGTACTCGCTTCATTCATAGTTCATTTTCATTCTCGTTCTAATCTTCTCAAGGACGTCACGTTTGACGAGCTGGTCCCCTTTTACCGTCTCTTCCCCTACCGCACTGCCCCGCTCCCCCCTCCGCCGCTCTTCCTCACGCCAGGTGCTACTTTGGTAGACCCCCTGCCTCCCCAGGGTCTTGCTCCCTCAGGTGTTTCCCAGGTAGACCTGGTCAAGCCTGTCGAAGTAGCTGTCGACTCTGGTCCTGCGCGAGGTACTGAGCGTGCTGAGCCTAGTGGTGCTGAGCCTGGGGGTGCGGAGACTGTGGGTGCTGAGCCTGGGGGTGCTGTGTCTGGGGGTGCTGAGCCTGGAGGTCCTGAGCGTGGGGGTGCTGCGCCTGGGGGCGCTCTCTCTTCCCAGCAGCTGCGTGAGTGGTACTCTCGGTACTGTCGCCGTCGCCATGGTGCTGTGGGCACTGGAGGTGCTACTGGAGCTGGAGCTGAGAGCGCTGGGCCTACTGGAGTTGGTGTAGCTGCTGACCCTGGGGTTGGCGATGGAGGTGCTGGAGCCACTGGTCCTGGAGGTGCTTGTACTAGCGGTACCGGAGCTGCTGGGACTGGAGGTGCTACTGGAGCTGCTGGAGGTGCTACTGGTACTGGGGCTGGTGGTGCTACAGGGGCAGGAGCTGGAGGTACTTACGCTCGTCCTCCTGCAAGTGCTGGAGCCGACGGTGCGGCTGGAGCTGGAGCTACTGGGGGTACTGGAGTTGGCGCTACTGAAGCTGCTGGTGGTGCTAAAGGAGTTGGAGCTTCTGCTGGGGGTTCTGGTGCTGTCTCTGCTGTTTTTGGGGGCACTCCTTGGCCGCTGCCGTACTTCGTTCCACTCCTTCAGCAGGTTCTTGGTCAGCCGCCTCCTCCTTGTCTTGCTCCCTCCTTAGAGTGTCCTCCGCCTGTCAAGTCGCAGTCACAGTTACAGTCTGCCTCGCCACTTCTTAGTCCTTCTCCCTACACTGGTCCGACAGGAGGTCTTACGGAGCGTCGTGAGCCTGAGTCTCGTCCTGTGTCGCCTGAGTCTTGTTCTGCGTCATTTGTTCGTGCTGCTCGCACTGGTCGTCGTGTCCCGCGTCAGCGTCCTCCTGCTGTCCCAGGCACTCACCAGATGACGCTTCGTATTTCCACTGCTCCACAGCGTGTCCCTCTACCTTCTCCTCCTTCGTCCTCTCTTCCTGCCCTTGTTGACCCGGAGTCTGGCTCTCTTCGTGCTGCTAGTCCTACTATCACGCGTCTCCTGGCCACTACTGTCACTGACCCTTCCTTTGAGTCAGCTGCTGCGTCTGCCTTAGTTGTTGAGCTTCTCGACTTTGCTGCTCACTGTCGTCTAGACTACGGTGCCAGTCTTGTTGCAGTGTTTGAGTCTGTCTGACCTCCGTCCGTCGGGGGTGTGTGTGCTCTTGGCACGGACGTCCTTGAGGACGAGCAGGAGGAGTTTGAGTGCTTTGGCGCTGCTGTACCTCATCTCGAATCCATGCTGATTGCACCTGAGGGAGACCCGGATGCACCAGACATCCTGACCCCACGCTCTTACGCTGAGGCGATCGCGGGTGAGTACTCCTCTCAGTGGCAATCAGCCATGGATGCAGAGATGGCATCCTGGAAGTCCACTGGCACTTACGTCCACGAGGTTTCCCCTCCTGGGGCGAACATCGTCAGTGGCATGTGGATTTTCAGGGTGAAGCGGCCGCCAGATTCTCCGCCTTTCTTCAAGGCTCGTTACGTTGCACGAGGCTTCAGTCAGCGAAAGGGAGTAGACTTCTTCAAGACCTTCTCCCCCACCCCGAAGATGACCACTCTTCGGGTGCTACTGCACGTTGCCGCTCAACGTGACTACGAGCTTCACTCTCTTGACTTCAGCACAGCTTTCTTGCAGGGCAGCCTGCACGAGGAGATCTGGCTGCGCCGCCCTCCTGGCTTCACTGGGTCGTTCCCTCCTGGTACCCAATGGAGCTTCCGGCGGCCAGTCTACAGTCTCCGCCAGGCGCCACGTGAGTGGCATGACACACTGAGGACTACATTTGCGGCTCTTGGGTTCGCGCCTTCTACTGCTGACCCGTCGCTGTTTCTGCGCACCGACACTTCGCTGTCGCCGTTCTACATCCTCGTGTACGTCGACGACTTGGTCTTTGCCACTGCTGACACTGAAGCTCTTGGTCTGGTGAAGTCGGAGCTGCAGAATAGACATACGTGCACAGACCTGGGTGAACTGCGCAGCTACATTGGCTTGCACATCACCCAGGACAGAGCACGCCGCACCATCACACTGACTCAGTCACACATGGTGCAGCAGGTCCTTTAGCACTTCGGCTTCACCTGGTCCTCGGCACAGGCCACTCCTCTGGCTGCAGGTCACTCGCTCTCAGCTCCACCTTCGGACGAGTCTGTAGAGCCGAGTGGTCCTTACCCAGTCTAGTTGGCTGCCTCATGTACCTGATGACTTGCACTCGTTCTGACCTCGCGTATCCTCTTGGCCTTCTGGCTTGCTACGTGGCTCCTGGTCAGCACCGAAAGGTGCACATGGATGCTGCTAAGAGGGTACTGCGCTACTTGTGCAGTACATCAGGCATGGGGCTCGTGCTTGGAGGGAGGAGCTCAGTTGTTCTCACTGGGCATTCAGACGCTTCTTGGGTTGACGACCAGGCTACTCAGCGGTCGACACAGGGTTACACCTTCAGCCTTGGCTCTGGTTCGGTTTCTTGGCGTTCTCAGCTCCAGTTGTGAGGCTGAGATCTACGCCACAGCCATGGCTGCACAGGAGCTATGCTGGCTCACCTACCTACTTACTGACTTGGGAGAGCGGCCTCGTTCTCCTCCAATGTTGTACGTCGACAACAAGGCTACCATTGCCTTGTGTGAGGAGCACAGACTGGAGCACAGACTGGAACATCGCTCTGCGCTACTTCCTGGCTCAAGAGTTGCAGCAGCGTGGTCAGCTTCGTCTGCGTTACGTGGCCACTCGGGCCAACACTGCTGATATATTCACCAAGGCACTTCAGTCTGGTGATCATCAGCGTTTCTGCACTATGCTTGGGCTTGTTCCCACTTTTCCTCACTTGTTGTAGGCTTTGGTTGTACTGTGATCTATATATATATATATATATATATATATATATATATATATATATATATATATCTGCATGCTTGCTTTGCTAGGTAGAGTTCATTGTGATGTTTGTGTTGCATATATGCCTCTGCATGTGAACTGGCCTTGTGGTCCTTTGCTTTTGCTCAGTGTGTGTGGTGACGTTGTGATCCACCCTGAGCTTGCTTTGCCTTTCTTGACTGATCTTGTGACCCCTTACTCTCCCCCACTTTGCCAATGGGGGTGTGTCAAACTTATATGTTGCTTATATGGGGGTGTGACCCCTTCCCTGCCGGCTCGACGCGGCCCCTGCCTTGCCAGTCGCGGCCCTGCCCTACTCCCGCCCCTACTAAGCGCACCGCCGCACCCGCGCCGCCCTGCCGAGCCGCGCTGCCCTGCCGAGCCGCGCCGCCCTGCCGAGCCGCGCCGCCTTGCCGAGCCGCGCCGCCCTGCTGAACTGCTACTGCTACTGCTGCTGCTGCAGCTACTGCTACTGCTACTGCTACTGCTACCATGGTTAGCCCTAGTGTTCTTACCTTCGATGCTGAGGGTCGAGCGGTTGATTTTGAGGTTTGGGCCGATGACCTGCATCTCTTTCTGCAGTGCGACTCTAGGGACGGAGTCTCACTATTCGATCACACGTCCGGCGTCTCTGTTGCACCTGCTTCGGCACACCTTCATGAAAAGCTAGTGCGTTACGTAGCGTAGTCAAGGCGGCACAAAGTAGCAAGGTGAACAAGCTCAGCAACTGAGGCAGACGCAACATCAGACTCAATGGAGGGGTCAGACACAATCGTAGAAAGAAGACGAGTGACAGTCGGAGTGGCATTACAAACAAGGTATGACTCAAGGTCAGGCGTGAGGATGAGAAGTCGCGGGAGGCGACGGCAGGACAACACGTTGTAGAATGAAGGAAGGACGAAGTGCTATGATGTGCGTGCTAGAGAAAGATGGAGGATGGAGACGCACAGCACAGCGAGAACGGATAGGCGTGATAGGACGTGATGCAGGCTATTTATGCTTAATGAAGTACTCTATTACCGCAGTGTGTGGAGCAGGAGCAGGCAGTAGAGTGTGAGTTAGTAGTTGTGGCTCAAACTGGGCAGGCGGTGGAAATAGTAACGAAGGAGTACTGCCAGCAACAAGTGTTACAATACTAAGTTAACTAGGAACCAGGTTTAATTAGGGGCATAGTCTTAGTAGCCTAGGCCAAGCGGGTGTCAAGTAGTTTGTGCTAAGGAGGATTGAAGAATGGGTGAGTTCACTATAGCACACAAGGTACATATTGTCAGAACATTATAGCTTATGCTATTGTGTAGGCTATAGTGGGGTATCCCATAGGGGGTACAACCCAACTAGGGTTTCATATTTGTACTCGCTTCATTCATAGTTCATACATTCTCGTTCAACGTTTCTCATGGTATCGAGCAGGTTCCTCTGTGGGAACTGCGCCTAGGGCCCACCACTTCGATTTTGTTTTTTTACAGCCCGAAGCGCGCTCATCCCGAGTCGCGCCTCGGGCTGCTAACTCGACGAGCCGCCCTAGCGGCCTTCCCTCCCCTAGCGGCCCTGCCGCCCTACTGTCGCGGCCCCACCGCCCTACACCTCGCGGCCCCGCCGCCCTGCTTTACCGGCCCCGCCGCCCTGCTTTAGCGGCCCCGCCGCACTACACTTCGCGGCCCCGCCGCCCTGCCTTAGCGGCCCCGCCGCCCTACACCTCGCGGCCCCGCCGCCCTGCGTTAGCGGCCCCGCCGCCCTACACCTCGCGGCCCCGCCGCCCTACACCTCGCGGCCCAGCCGCCCTGCATTTCGCGACCCCGCCGCCCTACACCTCGCGGCCCCGCCGCCCTGCTTTACCGGCCCCGCCGCCCTAAACTTCGCGGCCCCGCCGCCCTGCCTTAACGGCCCCGCTGCCCTACACCTCGCGGCCCCCGCCGCCCTGCTTTAGCGGCCCCGCCGCCCTACACCTCGCGGCCGCGCCGCCCTGCTTTAGCAGCCCCGCCGCCCTACACCTCGCGGCCCCGCCGCCCTACACCTCGCGGCCCCGCCGCCCTGCATTTCGCGGCCCCGCCGCCCTACACTTCGCGGCCCCGCCGCCCTGCTCTCGCGGCCCCACCGCCCTGCTTTAGCGGCCCCGCCGCCCTACACCTCGCGGCCCCGCCGCCCTGCATTTCGCGGCCCCGCCGCCCTACACTTCGCGGCCCCGCCGCCCTGCTTTAGCGGCCCCGCCGCCCTACACCTCGCGGCCACGCCGCCCTGCATTTCGCGGCCCCGCCGCCCTACACTTCGCGGCCCCGCCGCCCTGCTTTAGCGGCCCCGCCGCCCTTCTGCTGCGGCCCCGCCGCAGCCCCGCCGCCCTTCTGCTGCGGCCCCGCCGCCCTGCACCTGGGGCCCCGCCGCCCGTCTGCTGCGGCCCTGCCACTCTCTTCTCCTGCCGCCGACCGCAGCACCACCCTGCAGCGTGCACCCGAGCAGTCGACCACCGCGCCGCCGAGTACCGGAGGAGCCGCCCGGCCGCCCACCAGCCGAGCCGCCCAGCAGCCAAGCCGCTGTGCAGCCGAGCCGCCGAGCCGCCCAGCAGCCGAGCCGCCCGACCTGCCCTGTCCGGTGAGCGCAGCCCCACTGTCACTGCGTGCCCTTCCCCTACTGCTTGCACTGCTAGGCTACTGTCGTCATGGCTACCCCTAGTGTCCTCGCTTTTGACGCTGAGGGTCAGGCCATTGACTTTGAGGTCTGGGTAGACGACCTGCAGCTGTTCTTACAGTGCGATAGGGCAGACGGCCTCTCTCTCTTTGACCTTACCTCTGGCGCTTCCCCTGCCCCTGCTGCTGATGCTGACGCCACTGTTCGCTCCCAGTGGGCCACGCGCGACGCTGCTGCACGTCTTGCTGTGCGTCGCCACCTCCCTACCTTCGAGCTAGCGCACTTTAGTCAGTACAAGAGTGCTCAGACCTTGTACGACGCTGTAGTCGCACGCTACTCCTCCCCTTGCACTGCTGCACTCAGCCGTCTCAAGCTGCCGTACCTCTTCCCTGACCTTGCTGCCTTTCCCACCGTTGCTGACCTCATTACGCACCTCCGCACTAGTTACACTCGCTACCGCGCTGCACTTCCTGCTGACTTCTGCACCACGAACCCCCCCCCCATGTACATCACTCTGTACTTCCTAGTCACTCGCCTCCCTGACTCCCTTCGAGTAGTCAGGGACCACTTTCTCTCAGTCTGTCCCACCACACTCACTGTAGACCTCCTCGAGAAGGCCCTCCTCGCGATAGAGAAGAGCATTGTTGCTGTAGGAGCCTCTCGAGGTGACCCGCGCACCCCCATCTTTGAGGGGTGTTCTCCCTCCCCCCTGCTGCCCTCTGTTGCCTCTGTTGCTGCGGCCGACCTCCTTGGTCTTGAGTCGGTCGGTGCGGCGTCTGCCCCTAGCGGGAGACGCCGCTCTGGCAAGGGCAAGGGGGGCAAGGGAGCTGGAGGAGCGGGCGGTGGAGGTGGAGGTGGAGGCAGTGGGGGGAGTGGGGGTGGCGGTGGAGGTGGAGGTGGGGGTGGGGGGGTCGGTGGCGGCAATAGAGGCGGAGGCGGCGGCGGCGTTGGCGGTGGTAGCGGAGGTGGCAGAGGAGGCGGCGGTGGAGGCGGCGGTGGAGGCGGCGGCGGCAGTGGAGGCAGCAGAGGCGGTGGAGGCGGTGGGGGTGGCGGTGGAGCTGGTCGGGGGTCTTCACAGAGGAGTGGCTCAGGTGGTGGCTCGTGCCAGCAGCAGCAGCGTGGTCGTGCGACCCTGTCCTCTCAGCAGCTCCGTGAGTGGTACACTGCACACCACCGGGGTGGGGGTTTTGGTCCGTGCACCTACGTCCTGCGCACCGGCGACCGTGCGGGTGAGCAGTGTGGGGGTGCGCACCCCACTCCGCGCTGCTTTGGCCACCTGACGGACGCGTGGCGTCACCAGTTCCCGGAGGCCTCCGAGATCCCTCGCTGGGACGAGCTGTCTAGGGCGGGGGTTGCCATCTTTGATCTTGACTTTGATGCTATTCTCTCTGCCATGTATGCTGTGTCTCATAGTGATGAGGGTGACTGCTACCGCTGTTTCCCGCCCGATCCGGGCATTGAGGCTGCTGCCCTAGGTGCTTGCGACGCTGCTGCTCTAGGAGCTAGTGTGTCTGCGTCCTCAGGTACTGGTGAGTCTACGCTCTCAGGTACTACGTCGGCTTCGGCCTCCCTCACCTTCACTCTTGACTCTGGGGCGTCTCGCTCCTTCTTTCGGGACCGCACCACACTCACGCCGCTTAGTCGGCCGGTTGCGGTGTCTCTAGCTGACCCCTCCGGGGGTCCTGTACTGTCTCGCTTCTCCACAGTCCTCCCGTGTCCGGCGGCTCCCTCTGGCACCCTGTCTGGTCTCTACCTCCCCTCGTTCTCGACGAACCTGGTGAGTGGTGCTGACCTACAGGATGGGGGAGTACACCAGTTCACTCCTGCGCGTCAGCGGGTGACGCACTGTACAGAGGCTAGCACAGGCCGGCACCTGGCTACGTTTACCCGTCAGCCGGGGTCGAGCCTCTACACACTGACCACTGCGTCTCTTCCCGTTACTGAGTCTGGTAGAGTCGCTTCGTTCGGTCAGGTGTTTGCTGCAGCGTCTAGGTCTGGTCCTGAGTCTGCCCCCTGTTTGTGTCGTCTCTTGTCTCATGAGACTCTCCTCTGGCACCACCGTCTTGGTCACCCCTCTCTGCTTCGGCTCAGAGGAATGGCCTCCCGTCTTCTTGTGTCTGGTCTCCCCCGGTCCCTCCCTCCCCTTCCTCAGGGCCCTGGCCCTGCTTGTGTCCCCTGTGTCCAGGGGCGCCAGCGGGCTGCCCCTCACTCCTCCCAGTTTCCTCCGACAGAGGCCTCGTTGCAGACGCTTCACATGGACGTGTGGGGCCCAGCCCGCGTTCGTGGACAGGGTCACGAGCGCTACTTCCTGCTCGTTGTTGACGACTACTCGTGTAACACCACGGTCTTCCCCTTGCGCAGCAAGGGTGATGTCACTGAGGTGCTGATCGACTGGATCCGCGCGGCTCGTCTCCAGCTCAGGCGGAGCTTTGGCTCGGACTTCCCTGTTCTACATCTGCACTAGGACAGAGGCGGAGAGTTTTCCTCTGGCCTACTGCGAGCCTACTGTCGCGCACAAGGCATCCGCCAGACCTTCACGCTTCCGGACTCACCGCAGCAAAATGGGATTGCTGAGCGCCGCATTGGCATGGTCATGGACGTCGCTCGTACGTCTATGATGCATGCGGCTGCCCCCCGTTTTCTGTGGCCGTTTGCGGTCAGGTACGCGGCGCATCAGATCAACCTCCACCCCAGGGTCTCCACGCCGGAGACCTCCCCAGCCTTACTGTGGACGGGGAAGGTTGGCGATGCGTCGGCGTTCCGGGTCTGGGGATCTCGGGCGTTTGTCCGCGACTTGTCTGCGGACAAGCTGTCCCCTCGTGCTGCTCCTTGCGTCTTCCTGGGGTTCCCCCCTGACGCGCCTGGGTGGCAGTTCTACCACCCCACCTCTCGACGTGTTCTGTCCTCCCAGGACGTCACGTTTGATGAGTCGGTCCCCTACTACCGCCTCTTCCCCTACCGCACTCCGTCCCTCCCCCCACCTCCGCTCTTCCTTGTACCAGGTCCCCCCCAGGTAGACTCCCTCCCCCCTCAGGGTCGTGCCCCTTCAGGTGTGTCCCAGGTAGACGCAGTCGAGCCTGTCGAGGTCACTGGTGACTCTGGTGCTGTTGGGGGTGCTGAGCCTGGGGGTGCTGGACCTGGGGGTGCGGAGTCTAGGGGTACTGAGCCTAGGGGTGCTGAGCCTGGGGGTGCTGAGCTTGGGAGTGCTGCGCCTGGGGGTGCTGAGCCTGGAGGTGCTACGCCTGGGGGTGCTGGGAGTGGAGGTGCTCCGCCTGGAGGTTCTCCGGGTGCTTCTTCTCGCCGGGAGCCACTCTCTCCACAGGAGCTGCGTGAGTGGTTTGCCCGGCACTGGCACCGTACTGCTGGTGCTGGAGGTTCTTCGGCTGCTGCGGTCACGGGTCCCAGAGGTGCTCGTACTGGGAATACTGGAGCTGCTGGGCCTACGGGTTTGACTGGAGCTGGTGCTGCTGAGGGTGTTGGCGCTGAGACTACCGCTGGCAGTCCTACTGGGGGTGCTCCTGGTGCTGCTGGAGGTGCTGCTGGAGCAGGTGCTCCTGCTGAGGGTACTCGTGCTGTCCCTGCTGCTTCTGGCGTCGTCACGAGGCCTTGACCGTACTTTGTTCCACTCCTGCAGCGTGTTCTTGGTCTTCCTCCTTCTACTGGTCCTCCTCCTCCCTTAGAGTGTCCACAGCCTGTCCCGTCACAGACACAGCTACAGCCTGCCTCCCCTCTACCTGCTCCTTCTCCCTACGCTGGTCCCACTGGAGGTCTTACTGAGCGTCGTGAGCCTGCGTCTCGTCCTGCGTCGCCTGTTAGAGCTGCTCGCGCTAGTGGTCGCGGTTCGCGCTAGCGTCCTCCTCCTGTCCCTGGCACGCACCGGATGTCTCTGCGTCCGTCTGTTGCTCCTCTGCATGCCCCTTTGCCTTCCCCTCCTGAGTCCTCTCTTCCTGCACTTGCAGACCTGAGTCGGACTCTCTTCGTGCTGCCAGTCCTACTGTCACGCGTCTCCTTGCTACTGTTGTCACTGACCCTTCTTTCGAGTCTACTGCTGCGTGTGCTCTCGTTACTGAGCTCGTCGACTTTGCTGCTCGCTGTCGCTTAGACTACGCTGCTAGTCTTGTCGCTGAGTCTGCGTCTGTCTGTCCTCCGTCCATCGGGGGTGAGTGTGCCCTTGGCACGGACGTCCTTGAGGACAGGCAGGAGGAGCTCCAGTGTCCGGCAGCTGCTTCACCTCATCTCGTGTCCGTACTACTTACCCCTGAGGGAGACCCGGAAGCACTAGACATCCCGACTCCGCGCTCTTACGCGGAGGCGATAGAGGGTCCCTACTCCTCTCAGTGGCAGGCAGCTATGGATGCAGAGATGGCTTCCTGGAAGTCCACAGGCACCTACGTTGACGCTGTCCCCCCTCCTGGGGCGAACATCGTCAGTGGCATGTGGATCTTCAGGGTGAAGCGGCCGCCGGGTTCTCCGCCTGTCTTCAAGGCGCGTTACGTGGCTCGTGGCTTTAGTCAGCGGCAGGGAGTTGACTACTTTCAGACCTTCTCTCCCACCCCGAAGATGACCACTCTTTAGGTACTGCTGCACATTGCTGCTCACCGTGACTACGAGCTCCACTCTCTCGACTTCAGCATAGCCTTCTTGCAAGGCAGCCTGCACGAGGAGATCTGGCTGCGCTGCCCACCTGGCTTCACTGGGTCTTTCCCTCCTGGTACCCAGTGGAGTCTCCGGCGTCCAGTCTTTGGTCTCCGCCAGGCGCCACGTGAGTGGCACGACACACTGAGGACTACGCTTGCGGCTCTTGTGTTTGCTCCTTCTACTGCCGACCCGTCGCTGTTTCTGCGCACCGACACCTCTCTGCCGCCGTTCTACATCCTCGTGTACGTCGACGACTTGGTCTTTGCCACAGCTGACACTACTGGACTCGCCTACATGAAGTCCGAGCTGCAGAAGCGACACACGTGCACAGACCTGGGTGAACTGCGCAGCTACCTTGGCTTGCAGATCACCCGGGACAGAGCACGCCGCACCATTACCCTGACTCATTCACACATGGTGCAGCAGGTCCTTCAGCGCTTCGGCTTCACGTACTCCTCGCCTCAGGCCACTCCTCTGCCTACTCGCCACTCACTCTCAGCTCTGCCTTCGGATGAGTCCGTAGAGTCGAGTGGCCCGTATCCAGAGCTTGTTGGCTGCCTCATGTACCTGATGACCTGCACACGACCTAACCTTGCATACCCTCTTAGCATTCTTGCACGCTATGTTGCTCCTGGGAGACACCGACCAGAGCACATGGCTGCAGCGAAGAGGGTGTTGCGCTACTTGTGCAGTACGTCGGGCATGGGGCTAGTGCTTGGAGGGTGGTGTTCAGTGGTCCTCACTGGGCACGCGGACGCTTCTTGGGCTGACGACCAGGCTACGCAGCGGTCGTCACAGGGTTACACCTTCAGTCTTGGTTCCGGCTCTGTTTCGTGGCGGGCTACCCGCTCGTCTTCTGTTCTCGGCTCCAGTTGTGAGGCTGAGATCTACGCCGGGGCTATGGCTGCCTAGGAGCTTCACTGGCTCACCTACCTGCTGACCGACCTTGGAGAGCCGCCTCGTTCTCCTCCAGTCCTGTACGTAGACAACAAGGCCATGCTGGCCTTGTGTTGAGAGCAGCGACTGGAGCACAGGACAAAGCACATTGCTCTCCGCTACTTTCTTGCTCGTGAGCTACAGCAGCGTGGACAGTTGCGGCTTGCGTACGTGGCCTCTGAGGCCAACACTGCTGATGTTTTCACCAAGGCACTTGCGCCTTGTGATCATCAGCGCTTCTGCACTCAGCTGGGGCTTGTGCCTGTCTTGCCTCACTTGCTCACTTCTTGACCTTGCTTGTACTGTCACATATATATACTCCTGCTCTTGCTTGCTTAGCCTCGTATATATATATGTGTGTGTTCTTGCATGTGAACTAGCCTTTTGGCCTTTGAACTTGTGCTCGGAATGTGTGGTGACTTTGTGATCCACCCTGAGTTTTGCTTTGCTTTGCTTGACTGGTCTTGTGACCCCTTGTTCTCCCCCACTTTGCCTATGGGGGTGTGTCAGAACATTATAGCTTATGCTATTGTGTAGGCTATAGTGGGGTATCCCATAAGGGGTACAACCCAACTAGGGTTTCATTTTTGTACTCGCTTCATTCATAGTTCATTCCATTCTCGTTCAACTTTTCTCACTTATAGCAAACTAACAAAGGTGAAAGAGGTGCACCACCATACAAAGGAATTGCACATCAGCTACACTACAGGCAGATTATACTAAATAGATATAAATCCATTTTTACACACCCCCTATCTGCCTGAAGTGCATAACAATGTGCAGAGCCCCCCTTGAAGGGGTACACCTGTAAAACCCCATTATAGGGCGTGGGAACACCAGCAAGGGGCTCCCTCTGAAGCTGATAAGCAACAACCACCAAGTAACAACCCCCAAGCAGCATCTGAACCACCACGGTGGATCAGGTGCCCGGCTGCGGTTGAACGCCCCGCAGCTGGTGCACGGTGTTCGAGGAGCACGGATATGGGTAGCAGGCTCGGGTATCAACTAGGTGCTGTACGGGACGGGCCGCATGGAGGTGACGAGCAGCACGAGACCGGGCAGCACAGACCGGGTGGGGCACGAGCGAGAACTGACAGCACGGGTGGGGCACGAACGGGTATGGACAGCACGGGTAGGGCACAAACGGGGAGAACGGGGAAGCACGGGCAGAACGGGGCAACACGGGCAGAACGGGGCAGGAAACGGGCTGAACGGGGCAACACGGGCAGAATGGGGCAGGACACAGGCTGAACGGGGCAGGACACGGGCTGAACGGGGCAACACGTGGACAGAGGGGCAGCACAGGCAGAACGGGGCAGGACAACGCCTGAACGGGGCAACATGGCACGGAAACGGGCACGACACAGGCAGAACGGGGCAGCACGGGGAGAGCGGGGCAGCACGGGAGCACGGGGAGCATGGGAACACGGGGGCAGCACGGGAGCATGGGGGCAGCATTGGGGCAGCACGGGGGCAGCATGGGAACACGGGGGCAGCACGGGGGCAGCATGGGAACACGGGGGCAGCACGGGAACACGTGGGCAGCACGGGAGCACGGGGGCAGCACAGGAGCACGGGACGCACAGGTGAAACGGGTGGGGCACAATTGGGTACGGACAGCTCGGGTGAGACTCGTGGGGCACAACCGGGTACGGACAGCACAGGCACGTGGAACACGAGCGGACAGCACGGGCATGGGCACGGGCACGAGGCAAGCACGGGGAACACGGGGCAGCACGGGCAGAAGCACAAGAAGCATGAGTAGCACTGGATCACGGGAGGTGCACGGTAGGAGATGAGAGGAGGAGGAGACGGCAGTTGCTGATGTTGCAGCTGGAATTTCACCACCCACACCCCTTGAACCTCCCCCCCCCACAGCAGCAGCAGGAGCAGCAGAGAGAGTGGGGGACGTGTGGCGGCAGTAGCTGGAGATGGATCACCCACCCCCTCAACCTCCCCCTTATACGAGCTGCCAACCCGGCAACTCCCCCTCCCCCAGCCGTCCCCTTCGGGCCAACAGCACACCTCCTCCCCTTCCCACTGGAAACGGAGCCGGAGATGGGGGTGGGGTGGCAGTTGTCGGTGGGGGGGGGGGGGGGGGGGGGGCGGGATCTGGGGCAGAACGGCGGTCTGGGTGCGGGTACAGGGTGCGGACGGGTCTCGCGGATGGGGGCACAAACATCGTGCGTGGTGCGGATGGCGTACGGGCGACGGGCACGGTGCGGGGTGCGGGTAGCGCACGGGCGTCGGGCAGGGTGTGTTGGTGCAACCCTACGGTTTGCACTCGGCTTGTTGTCCGTGTGCGTGCATGCGTGCGTGCATGGAATTGTATGAGGGCATGAGATAATATATATTTCATGCTTATAATAGTGTGTGAATGATGGGTCATGGTGTCGAGTGTGTGTTTCAAGTCTATAGCGAGTTATCGCTAGTCGCGTGTAACGCGGTCATTTTGTGTGTCCCGTGCGGTTTCTATTTTGTCGTGCACGGTTTCTATTTTGTCGCTTGTCAAACGTTCCGCGTGTCGCAGGTGTGTGCAGCAGACCCATCAAGAACTAAAGGATGAGTTTGTGATGAAGAACCCGAGCCTTGGTTGCAAGCTTCAAGTGATTTCGAAGCTCGTCAAAAAGGGTACACTTCAAGATATCAAAATTCGTTACATTACAATGTGTAGTGTAACATTTATGTTGGTGTAGACCCTTGTGGAGGGTAGTTTCGAGACCCTTCTTGGTTGGGGACAGTGTGGCACTGTTCCGCATCACTGTACCTCGGCTCTTGGGGTTTGTAGGAGCGGGGAGTCCTTCCCAACTCGTAACCCTTCCTAACTCTTCCTATCTTGTGTTCTAAGACTACAGTGGTTGCCATAGTGCCGTTCGTTCAAACCGACGCTGTGTCGTCAAATCTGAGTGAAAGTGTGCGATCTAAATTGCTATTTGTAGGCGACATTAAGACGATCTAGATCCCAGTTCACGTCAATTGGAGCTGTGAGCAGATCGCTACGAACGTTTAAAGCCGCTGTGCAGAAATCTGACTATGCACTCTATCTTTCGTTTTAGGCACATTGAAGCCTACTGTGACTATAACAAGTGGTATCAGAGCGCCTTGGAGCAGCTGCGACAATGGCTGGACCTGAGGAAAGGGGTGGCAGAGGCGCTGGTGGCAATGGAGATGCCCAAACACAAGGCCAAGCCCGTGAGTCAGCCGTGGCGCCCGTGCAACCGACTCTTGGACCTTCTAGGGACGAACCAAGAGTGTTTGGCCTTGACAAGTTCAACGGCGACAACTTTGCTGAATGGTCCTTCAGAATTTGACCACTATAACCTGCTGGAGGTGATGGAAGGAACGGAGAAGCGTCCCGAGAACGACCCGGAGAAGAGCCCGTGGGTGCGGA